ACAGGTTGGTTTGTTTGGGGTTTGTTTTAGATTTGCTTTGATACCAACTCCTCCATAGTCAGAATGTTGTAAGCGTTACAGTGGGTGGGCTAGTAAAAAGTTGCAGCTGAATTTCTGGTGGACAAGAAGGATTATTTTTTGAGACAATTACACAGATTATACATGGCAGCTTTGACTCTCTGAGGGAGCCAGCATACTGACTCCTGGCCTTCTCCTAATCTCCTCACTACTCTTCAAGATAGCTAAGTTTCAGCAGCTTATATGGTTCTCACAGAATGAACACCTTTAGCAGCAGGAAACATTTTCAACATTATCTGTTTCCCATAAAGACAGATCAAAAAGTCATTTCTGATATTTGATAGGAACTTAAAGGGGAATAGCTCAGTATATATTAATTCAAATCAGCAGACAGCAAATAAAGAGCCTATGCCTAAATCTGTTACCAGTTATCTGTAGAAAAGAGAGCAAATATATTGAAGTCAATGGAAGTGGAGTGGTAAGATCAGCCAGTAACCCCAACACAGTCTAGCCTCTAGTCCATGACAGCTAACAGAAAGTTAATCTTATTTTTACACATTGCTGAAAATCATGCCACATCTCACTGAAACATCTGTTTCACCAATGAGAACAAATGAAAAGAACAAGATGGAATGTAACAGAGAAGGATCTGAAAAAGCTAGAAGGGAAACACAGGACAAGGACCATACTGCTGTCTCAGGTGCGTGGAATGACTAGTCCAGGAGTCAAGTTTCAATCAGACGTTAAAGTTAAGCTGCTGCACACAGAACAACTGTTTCCTAAGATGTAGAATTTGATGAGGTAAAGGTTTCTAGCACCTGAAATCGGTACCCATACAGCATATCTTCCAAATAACTCATGTCATCTGTTAAAACAACAATACTAGAGCTAAGCAAGAGATACAGATTTTAACATTACACTACACTGGCATATGTCCTGATGCTACCATGTCATGACAGTTCATGAATAATGTTCACAGACACTACATCTTTCTCATTGTACAACCACCTGGCTAAATTTGTGAATGTAACCATGGTTTTATATTATTTGGAATGATAATATTGCCTGAATGACACAAAAAAAAAAAAAACAACCCCAAAAAACCCAAAAAAACAAAAAAACAAAAGCTTACAATTAGGCCCAGCAAGAACAAAGCAAATATACTTTTTGGTCTGGGTATTTTCACAGGGAGAACTTTATCACTCCCACTGCCCCAATCCAAATGCAAATTATGCACCTCATTTGTTTAAATTACCCAGAGAAATAGATGCACAGAAACAAATGCTTCTCCCACTGAAGTCAATGTTGTGAGATCTGGGCTATGGTGCATGTCTGATGGCAGAGCAAGGTCCAAAGTATTATTTTAACAGTACTGCAGCTTTAAATGTTTGCTTTAAGGGTTAGCAAAACCGTGGTCTTGAAATCTGTGCTGCAGGCTTTCTGAAGAAGCACTAAATGGAGTAAGGATGTTGTTAAAAGCTTTTTTTTCTCCATTTGCCTTTCCCCCACAAAATAGAAGCAAGCATAAAAAGCAAAGAAATCTTTTCATACCTGGCATAGTTTTCATTTCTTAGAGCAAACCCGTCCCTGTATTTCAGCTATTGTATGCATTGCAACATCCATACTTAGGGCACCAATCTTTCAGGCTGATGCCACCTGAGACACTCCAGAGAAGAATAAGCGTACTTTCCAAAGCGGAGACACATTCCTTTTAATAATGAAGTATAGCATTCTATTTTTTATATTGTATTTTTAATGCTGCCAATCGGAAAGCCTGCTAATGCCTGCAATGACCTTTGTGTAAGTTCTATTGATGGAAACTTGAGTCTCCAGTTTTTATATTAATGTAATAAAATTTAAAATTTAAAAATTAAAACCTGTAAATAGAAGACTAAGGATCATATTCTACTGCTTTGCCTACAGTAATAAATCTCTTGTACATGCTCTCCAAAACAGTACAAAATTTTCCAGTTGAGGCCTTCTTATAGAAGAGAATAGCCTCAGTGTCTTACAATAACACTATCTTTATTATACCTCAAGCAAGATTTCTCCTGTGTGCATTATCTCCACACAGATTTGTGATTTATTATGATCTCCAGATCTCATTTTACTTTGCTTAATCACTCATCCCCTAAATTACATCTGCTGTTTGCCCCTCAATATATCACCTACATGGATGCTGTGAAGTGTAGCAGATTGGTCATTTGAAGTTTTCTTAAGGTGAAAAGAAAGGCTACCCACGCATAGCTGTCTATCACCAGAGTAGCAAAAATTACAGAGCATGGAGGGCCAGGATGTGACATCAACATGTTTCACCAGCAAGTAGTTTGCATGTGGAGAGCAACAGAATCTGCACTGATTGAAGAAATTATATGTTTTTATTTATCTGCTCATATATGTGACATATAAACTTAAACAGAAATGTTCTTCGTAAAATAATGGCTTCAAGACAGGTATCTGGAGTTTTCTGAGCTCTCAAACCCAATTTCTAGTACTTGAACATTATAAAACTCTTTCCTTTAAAAAAAACATACAACACCACCCACTCGAAACAAATCCCCAAAGCCATTAAATACTTAACTTAGAGAAACAACTATTCTGACCACCACAGAGCTAATATTTGCAGGAGCTTTGTAGGAGTCATTGCAGTTAGAGTCATATACATTCAGAGCATCTAGATATTTTAGAGATCAGCTTTCTAGGCAAAAATGCAAAACAACAATTTGTAGGAAAAAAAGACCCCAAACCTAAACCCAACAAAACCCTAAAACAAATCTCCAAACTAAAAGAAAATCAAGCACTAAGCTCAACAGAGAAGCTCTTTGCCAGGTGGGATTTTAAAGTCTAAGAGTGCACACCATTTAGAAGTGCCTTGACCCATCTAACAAGGAAGTTCATTGCCTGCAACTGTCCACAGAAGATTAATCAGTGTGTGATAACCCAGATCTCAATGCTCTTTGTTGAAATGCAAATGGGACTTCTGTGAAATGGCTCTGTTCCATTTAAACTGCGATTGATTCTGATGAAGTTGTTGGGTCATTCACTTGTTAGTGCTGTTGCCCAAGAGAGAACAGAACTGAGGGGTGAAAGTTAATGTTTTCATAGAAGTAAATGCCAAAAGCCCCAGGGGATATAAGGAGAATTTACTTTCCCAATGTGGCCCTTGCTCAGGTAAAAGGGAGAGGGACAGGCTTCATGGTGAATACGGACAGCAGCCCCATGGGGGGAGCAAGGCTGCAGCCCATTCTTATTATTTGGGTTGCAATGAATGCTTTGAAATCAGCTATCAGTTGCAGCTTATGTAAACTGATGATGTGTTTTCGTAATTACTTCCCACCGAAGAGACTTTTTATTGTTATCATTATCTGGATTTGTTTTTTTGTTAGCAGTATTTGGCCAATTTGTGCACAGTCTGCTTTCTTTGTATATTCTTCCCTACATCTGCAGTCCTTTCTTTGAGAGGTTTACACTCTATGAGGAGTTCAACAGCAGGTCACAGAAACGGTTTACAAAAGGAAGAAGAGATAAACAATGAACTAGAAAAATAAAAAGGCTCCACAAATTGTTCAGTAACCTATGGACAAAATGGAGAGCTGCGTTTACTGGACTTTCTTCCTTTCCTCTTCTGGACCTAGCATTCCCGCCTCATCTGAGATCAGACACCTTTAACAATTTTGTCTTTTTTCCTTCAAATTTACTGTTATTAGAAGATATTTATATACATGATTATGGGGTTAAGAGAGAATAAAAAATTAAAGGAGATAAGAACATGGCACACTGCAATTTGGATGCACGTCACTGAGCCTTTGGTCGCAGGTGTTTGCATTATTCCCCCCATCAAATAGTTTTCTCTTTGGGAAACTCAGCCCTATGTCTAGATACTCTTTGTTTATGAAAGAGACAAGTATACATTATTTACCTCTCACAGATAACTTACATATTTTAAATTATTCACATGCTTTTTAATTGCATATTTAGTATCTTAACCACAGAAAGAAAACTAGCAGGACTTCCACTTTCAAGTTAATTTTATCACTGGCCTTGTTTCATCTCCTGCTTCAGTGAACATGTAATAGATTTAGGCTTAAGGTAAATACAAGTAAAATTAAAAACATAGAGTACGAGGATTGAGAAAGAAAAGGGAGAAAAAGAGGATGATTGATACGTCATCTGATAAAGACAGTAAAAAACAATATTCTCTACACCAAAACCAGAATTACCCACGTAGGAAGATGGAGAGTGTCAGCTGTTGCACTAATGGGTAAAACACCTCCAACAGTGTACAAGTACACAGAGATGCCAAGCTCCTATACAAGGTACATTTTTCCCCCACTGTATCATCACACACAGGTACAACTTTTAGAAATAATAATAAAAACCCTTAAACAATAATGGAAAAGCTTCAAATCTGCAGCTCAATGCAATCAGAATGAAGGCTGGGGTAGAAAACTAAACATTGGATCAAAACTGAGCATTCCAAAACCATGCCTTCACTGATAAACACCTTTTCTTCTGTGCGAAAGAGCAAAGCCTGTAAACCAGCTAAACAATATACCTGAAGGGAGTTTTTAACTTGAAGGCTTATCAGGACCTATCTGTTTCAATGTATAATAAAGAATAATCAGCACACTCTATTGGAGAATATGCCTAATTTGCAAAAATAGGATGAACTCTCCCATCAGGTCTTCTACATAGTCTGTCTAGTCCTTTTTTATCCAGATCCCCAATTTCCCATTGTATCACTTTTAAAAATCTCATTGTTTTTTACTTTCCCGTTTATTTTCATTTTAACCCTCTTTTTCAGATTGACCTGAAATTCAGAGCACCAATCTTTTCTGCTTCTCTACAAACAGCACTAAATAATTGTATAAAATTAAAAAAGGGTATATTGACTTATACAAGTTGTTTTATGTTTATATATCTATATATATGCATAAATACACACATGTGTACACATATATACAGCGGAAAGAAGAACTTACCTATGTCCCATGTAAGGGGATTATTCTGTTCCATCTCCCTTTTCCCTATGACATACCAAATGCAGGCCATCCAGTGAGCAAGCAAGGCAAACATGGACATGAGAAGTGTGAGAACAATTGTGCTGTGCTGGGAATAACGATCCAACTTCTGAAGGAGACGCAAGAGGCGTAGTAACCGCACTGTCTTTAGGAGATGGACAAGGGAAACCTAGGAGAAGAGGGAGAGAAAACAACTTGTCAGCAGTTCTTTTGTTTCAATGAAAGGAAACTCTTACCTTTTAAACCTCTATGAATGTTTGTCCACTCTTTATTCAGTTACGTAGCTGCTCAGACCAAATCTTAAGACAGCAGAGAATACCAAAGAACATGATTAAAAAAGGTGTTTATTTTAGCTGTGTACATCTATTTTTACTATTCCTGATTTAAAGTGTACAAACTTGAAATACTAGATTTTTTTACTTATTTTTCATGCAGTCTTCTTTTATATTTAACTTAAAAATCTATATTTGTGTAAAAGTAGATCCTTCTCTGGATCTTCCTCTAGAAAAGATATATAACATAAGAAAAAGGAACTGACCAATGTTCATTTGATTCCCATATGAAACCACAATATAAACATCTTCACACACACAATGATTTTCAGTTTCTGATAACAGCCAAGTAGTAGGCCTAGTTCAACTATGTATGAGATGAAACTAGCTTAATAATTAAGCCTGGAAGAGGCAATAACATATAGCAGATATTTTGCAGAACAAGGAAGTAGAGAAGGCAAGAAGACTTGAATTTGTTCTTCAGATTTAAGCCTGTGTTCATAGGCCTGAGCATATTTTACTGCTCTATAATAAGATGGACTCCATAAAAACTTTTATTAAAACTTCTAATCCTAGTTCTTAAATTCCTTACCTAAAATATTATTGCCTTTCAAGTATATGTAGCAAAAGCAGCACCTAATCTGCTCAGCACCCTAAGTGTACATTAGTTTATGAAGTTTATGGGTTCTGGCCTCAGAGGAAATTCAATAATGCACAAAGTGAATAGTACGTGCATGACTCCATACCCTCCAAAGCATCCTCCAATGTATATCCACACTAGTGTGCATAGCTCCCAGTTCAGCATGGAATATATTTGGCTTATGTTTCAGCTGTTGGGTAGGGTTAGCAAGCAATATGAAGATTAGGACCCCAAATATTTTTTTTTTTTAATTAAATAGGCATAATTTTCATTAACATTAGGCACTTTTTCCCCCCTTCTTCATTAATTAGACATTAGGATTAATGCCTACGATGTACCTGACTGAGTCAGGATACACACATCAGATAGGAAAATAACCTCAAACTTGATATGTCATCCCACAGCCTTTCCAGGACAGAGTAACATGCTTTCTGAAAAGAAATTCTAAAAGCTTTATCAACATCCTTTTGCTTTTGCTAATCCAGAATAATCCAAAAGAGTTTCTGTTACTGCAACTAATAATATGAAACCTTGATTTTATAGGTGTGCAACACAGCTATGTTCAGCTTGACTGATAAATTCTGTAATGGGGGGTATTATAGATTTATTCATGAAGACTTAACAATTCATTGATTTTAATCCATTCTCACGAATTAAGTAGTTGGAAAACCTGCAAAAAGGAAAATAAAATTTCCACAAACATTTTTTCTTCCTACCACAGTTCTGATAATGTGCAAGTAATCATCCCACAACCTTCTTCATTTACTGCCTGTTATTTCATTATATTTTTTAAGTTTATTTCTCAGGTAGATAGCAGGGGAAAAAAGAAAATCAACAAAACCATGACACTTATTTAACATACTTTGAGGTTCACTGCTGTCAGGAATAAGATTTGACATTAGAGCATACAAAAAATTACAAGGTTTTCTCTTCTTGCATTTCTTATATCTATTTTATGTCATCGACAATAAGTCACTGAAATTCGTTATGGCTGTGGCTTTAAGCACAAGAATATCTGCAAGCCTGTGCAGAAGGTTGTAAAATATTTGACTGAATTGCCATGATTGTATTAAACCGATCATATAACTATTAAAATATAGTTATTCTAATTGAATGCCATGTCACTACAACAACAGCCTCCTTTTCTGCAGCAATTAATTTCCAAAAGTCTCCTTCTCTCTCATCAACCTGTTTGAACCAACATGGTTCTGTAGCACTTTTAACATAAAGCAGTCTCTATTCATGGCTGACTCTTCAAGGTGTTTTAGTAATACATGAACATGATTGCATATATAATAATTGTATATTGGCTATCGACTTCACATTGGAGCTTTCATCTTTGTATAAGTGCCTATATTTTACCACATCACAAACAAATAATTATAACTTAGGAGAAATTATTTTTTATTAGATTCTGGCAAATAAGAAATTGCAAAAGGGCTGTTACAGTGTGTCCTGCCAGTGATCACTTGTGACTACTTTCTGCCTACTTTTGTTAAGTAGTTAAAAACACAGATATAAAAACAGCTAATCAGATATCAAAATATTTGTCTTAATGCAAATGCATGTTTTATTTGAAGGCTTAGAGGCGTCCTCTTTTCAAAATAATTTCTGCATCAATTTGAACAGTGATGTAATTTATGATATGTAGTTGCACTGAATTTTCTCATTAGTCATGCCAAACACTCTTCTTGGATTGTGTCACAGATTTAAAAAGACAAATTGAGGAGTCAGCACTCATACTTGTGCTTGCGTAGATTTTTCTTTGCCCAGAGATACATACCATCTAAATTTTCCATTTGGTTAATTGTTTTAGACTAGCTGGGTTAACCTTTTTCTGTCAAAATGATGGAGACAGAATTTTATCTAAAACTAACACAATCACAGCAGTGTGCTTAGAAATACTGAGAAACTAAGTTACTACAGAATAGTGATGATATTTTCTGCTTGAAAGAATCATCTCTTATAGCAAAAGGAATTAGTGAGGAAACTTGGATACACTTTAAGAAATGACTAGTGGTAGGGTTCTTTAATTCATTTTTTCTGCTTGATTTGTTGGTTTTCCTCAAAAAATTATATTCTTGCTCTATAAACACCAATAGTTACTCAGACAGGAGCAAATTCAATCATTATAACTAGTATTTAATGGCCTGATTTTTACTTTTGCAGCACTGTACATCACATTTCCACAGACCAAGGGATGCTTTCTGTCAGATGAACACAAAGATAGTAGGAGCTGGGGTCTCATCAGGCACTGAAGTTAAGCAGGAACATGCCTATGGTCTTCGACCTCCAAAGAGTCACCCATTTAGAGGTAGGGCAGAATCCCTTCAGGGCATAAAGACAGGAGAGCCAACTCATACAGTTCCATATTTTTTCTTTTGAAATATCAATAAGTATGGAAAGAAACTCCACGCCTTTTTCACATACTCTTAATTATGTAAGTCTTTAATCAGAGGACAACATTTGTGTGCCATACATACATAGGTATATATGGCACTGTACCTATAGCTTGCAGAATTTAGAGCATCCCTAAAGGTTTGGCCTTTGTGTCAGGGCCTGAACAGCAAAGGTGTGAGATGCCCCCTGATGCCCCTTCTCACCGTTCTGTTGAGGCAACATCTGAGAGTCGATGGAGTGAAAATCTGAGAACAGACATGAGGAAATGGCTTATTAAATCATAAAGTCTGAAGACAGTGGAATGTGATTAACACCTCCCCCCAGCTCTCAAGACAGTTGATAAGTCATCGTTATCTTGAGGATTATATTAACAGTTGCCATGTCTTGCCACAACTGGAAATACACTGTGTTCCCATCAAGGAATCTTACAGAGAGCAAAACGACCAAGTTTTCTGGGAAGAATGCAGTGTGCAGACTCCCAGATTCTGGATTTGCTCTCAGTCCCCAGAAGGAAGGGAATGTTGGACCCTGACTCTCTACTATGTCTTTACCACACAGAAGCTAGATAAGAAAATTGGTCAAAGCAAATGAAGGAAGCAGATTTGACCTTGCAAAAACTTTTAACAAGGTATTAAACTCTTGAAGCATATTCATTTAACTCGTTGGAGCTATGTCTGTCAGTCAATGTTACTTTTGAGATCAACATTGCTATATATCATTCATTACTTGGGGTGTTAGGACTTAATCTATCATCACTCATCTCATTAAGGATCCATTACCAACAGAGGGACATCTCAACATTTCAGGATATTCCTAGTCACGATATTAGTGATCTTACCAAGGAAAAAAGTTTTAAAGTACAATAGGTGAGATGTGTATTAATCATATTATTGTAGTCATTGTGACATTTTATTTGTGACATAATATTGTGACATTTTAACTGTAAAAAATTATTATTGGATAATACTTTTGTTTTTTCCCCATAATTCAGTACAGAAAGCATAGTGGTCTTCCCAACAGAAGGAAAAAAATCAGATCAGGTTCATTTAGAGATCAAGTCTTAATGAAAGTTAAATCAACATAGTTATGGGTGGCTTTTTGGTTTTAATGTAGGGGATAAATTGACATAGTTGTGTATTTAAATAGATTAACCACTGGTTATAAAAGTAACAGTAATTGAAGAATGTGGAACTATTAACTGCCTGATTTCATAAGCTACTGTACTATCATCAGATTGATAGCTCTTAATGGAACAAATGGAGTGAAAATAAAGATCATCGAAAGAAATGGAACTAAGTAATAAAATTAAACATGATACCTTACATGGGAGACTTCATCTAGTGTTTTTCTGTTGTTTTTTTTTTTCTTTTCTGATATGTCTATCCTACCATCTATGTACACATTAAACTCATGTTTAACGGAAATGAGATTGAGGGCATCTGTTTACAAAAGATTAAAACTCTAAGAATTAGAAAATGGACAACTTAAAAACCTAAGAGTCTTATGTGAAAAAAAATCACAAAATCGAGAAAACTGCTACTATTTTTTTCCAAAATGAAAAATTTTTACTCAGTGGGAGAAGGGGTGTTTGGGTTTTCTCAGGGTTTTTTGCTTTTTTTTGCTTAAATTCTATTCTAGTAAGTCTAACAAAGCTATCAGAAGGAAAACCTTTCATAGCGTAATTAAACTTACAGAAATGTAACCCATCACAATTGTGACATCACCAGACATTAGATCCACAGATTTCTCAAAGCAATTGAAACATTTTGTCATTCTATTCCTAAAAAAAGATAAAACTATAGCCAAAGTTAATGACAATTTTAAGTAATAGGTGTTAGAACACACAGAAATTAGTGATCCAGCTGTAATTTTTGCAGTAGAATGCTCTTAGGTAAAGAGAAAAAAAGATTCCCAGCTGAGTAAAGAATGCTGACTTTACTGACCATAACAATGATAAACAATGATAACAATTAAAACCGAAATTGTATATACGTATTTTTCATGATAATGAATGGCCACTTTGACATCCAATCTTGTAATATTTTTAAACAATGTGTACAATTACACTGTATTCCTCACTTCAGCATCTGATGTGAAAATACACCACAAAGCTGAAAAAGACACCAAGTCATTTCAGTTTATTCAGTTTAAGTCTCCAGATCTGGAAAAAAAACCCCAACAAACCACTCTTGAAGAAGAATAAGGACAGGTTGGTACTTACCACAGTGACGTTGAAAGCATAAAGAAGATCAAAAGGAAGTGCAGCAATTAAATCAATGATAAACCAGGTAGTCACGTAGTGGATACAAATAGATCTTGCTTCAAATATAACTTGGCCAGACTTGCTGACATATGTTGTTCGGAAATTTAAAATAATATCTGCTTGACAAAGAATGAACAGAATCAGAGACAGAAATTTCTTGATTCCTGGGGATAACACCAGGAACCCACCATAACACTGATTGTTTTTCTTATCCATCGCAAAAGGCAGGTGAAAAATCATGTCTGGAAACAAATAAAATACGACAGTAAAAGCTCCACATATGGAGAGTTAAGCCAATTGGTTTACAAAGCTGTTCTTTGTAAGGAGTAAAAAGAATGTTTGAAATATTTGAAATTCATTGATTTCAAAGGGAGCATGAATTAAAACCAACCAAACAAACCAATCAAACCCAAACTAATTACATTGCTCTTTAAACAGTTCCAAATACAGGTGTTTTCTTAATGAGAAATGAGGGTACAATTGCTGTGTATAAAACTTATATTTTGAGATTAAAAAATCATTAATTGCTTTATTTAAAAGGTGCAATTGAAACTTTCTTTTAGCAATAGCTGTCCAGCACAGAGAACAAATGTAATCCTCCAGGATAACCGTTTATCAACAGAAAAGTGCTGAACTCACTTGAAAAAAATGGCTTTGGGGCTATGGTGGAGGTCACAAAAGTGATATGAATTGCTTGGTGGCTTGGGCATTTTGTGTGTTCCTACACATTCCAGGATAAGTGTCTTTCAATATGAGATATACTTTTGACGTCTTGCCAAAATACATTAACACTCAAAAAACCACCACAGGTCTTGACAACAGTCTCAATTATTTTCATGTCCTACAAGACAGAGACTATAATCTGTCCTGAAGCTATGTACCCATTGTACTAACATTAGTGAGAACTACTTGTATAACTTTTTATAATGTCAGAAAAGAGTGCAGCCAACCATCAAGGCTGGTGTTTTACTGCAAGATAATTAGCCGTCTGCCTTGCAAATTGTAATGACTCATGTTGAAGGCCATCTCAGAAAAGAGCAACAAGTGACCCCAAGTGTCAGGGGTCTGGTTAAAAAATAACAAAACAACACCTTCAGGTTGATGGCCTTCTCCTCATGATAGCCAGTGGACTTTAATATGCAAGTTATGAGAGGCAGCTTTCTACATGCTAGTCCAGTGTGTAATAGACTTGCCAGCTGTGTTTGTAGTCTAGGTGGCCTGCAATTAAGTGCTAAAAGGAGTGAGTAGCATTCCCTGTGCCCTTTGCCTCTGTATATGGAAACAATGCAGCAGTGACTCCTTTCTCTGTTAGATGATGCACAAGAGAATACACCTTCAGCTGCCTCTTCTATGTGTTGCTATTGTAGGAAGGTGGTACAGCAGCAGCTGCTGGGTGCTGGATCTGCACCATACACAGCAGGGAGCATGCAGATGTTTGGGAAGCTTTTTGCTGCCCAAAAAGATGTTTCCTACAGCTTCTGGGAAAGGGGAGGGCGAAATGACAAACAGAAGCACCTGTAAGTGAAATTCAGCTTCACCCACCAGCAAGATGAAAGTATAGGAAGGTGATATCTGCCTTGCAAATGGATCTAAACTCAGAATTTAAGTATTGCATAGTTTCAGACAATTCAAGGGTTTTGTTTTCTCTTTGGGTGCAGATATTTCCTTTCTGCAAAGCTAGTTTCCTCTGAGCTATGTAAACTTGCTCAAATTCAGCACGATTCTGGAAATAAAGCAAGCTATGGAGTCCTAAAAATTAAATATATCTCAACTTTTTTTTCATTATTTTCATTATTTTGGAAATCATATGTAAAATATATTACATTTATATTCATTATTAAAATTAAATGAACACAAGCAGTGCTGGCACTGTAACTTGCTTTTAGTGCAAATCAAGTTAAAACTAAAAAGTGGGTAGTAATAGGATTATTAATAGCAATAGCAAATTTATCTACTCTTGGTTTTGTAGTCAATTTCTGGGGCCTGAGAACTTTTCTTCCAGCTATACACACACATGAGAATGAATGCCTGATGTACCTTTTATCTTGCATTTTTCATTCAGTGTATGAGAAAAGTCAGCATGCATGAACAGAGTCATCTCAGAAAGCAAAATCAAAAGATATATTTTCCACAATACCTCACACCAAACATTATAACCACTAGAGCCATAGAGGAGTGGTGAGCTTTGCCCCATTTGCAAGTTTTTGCACAACCCAGAGAGCAAAATGCAAAAGTGAGTATTAAAAGATTTTCCTCCTGCGATTTATTTGAAAATAAAAAAAAAAAATTAAAATCAAACCCTTATGCTTATATAGAATAAGTAAACATTTATGCAGCTCCTTTTAAATGAGCCAGGTTTTACTAGGTTCTTGCTCTTAGGTATTTTTTACCTTTCCTGAATTTTCCCATTTTTCAAGGAAATTGTTTTTCACATTTTCCCATGCTTTCTCTCTCTTTTTTTTTATTATATGTTATATAATTTTTATTTATTCTGTGGCATTACTTCTGAATGATGTAGGCTTTGGAAATGACATTTTTCAACAATGCTGTTAATATAATGAGGACAGCCAACACATAGACTTATAGTAAAGGAGAGCACTGTAAACCAGAGCAAGAGCAAGTTTTATGCTCTTCTGCAGCTTGAAACCAAGAGGGTCGGTACTGGGACCAATATTATTTAATATATTCATCAATGATTTAGATGAGGGAATTGAGTGTACTATCAGCAAGTTTGCTGATGACACTAAGCTGGGAGGGGTGGCCGACACGCCAGAAGGCTGTGCTGCCATCCAGCGAGACCTGGACAGGCTGGAGAGCTGGGCAGGGAATAACTTGATGAAATATAACAAGGGAAAGTGTAGAGTCCTACATCTGGTCAGGAACAACCCCAGGTTCCAGTATAGATTGGGGAACGACCTGTTAGAGAGCAGTGTAGGGGAGAGGGACCTGGGGGTCCTAGTGGACGATAGGGTGACCATGAGCTGACACTGTGCCCTTGTGGCCAAGAAGGCCAATGGCATCCTGGCATGTATTAGAAGGGGGGTGGTTAGTAGGTCGAGAGAGGTCCTCCTTCCCCTCTACTCTGCCCTGGTGAGACCGCATCTGGAATATTGTGTCCAGTTCTGGGCCCCTCAGTTTAAGAAGGACAGGGACCTGCTGGAGAGAGTCCAGCGCAGGGCAACTAAGATGATTAAGGGAGTGGAGCATCTCCCTTATGAGGAAAGACTGAGAGAGCTGGGTCTCTATAGTTTGGAGAAGAGGAGACTGAGGGGTGACCTTATTAGTGTATATAAATATGTAAAGGGGGAGTGTCACGAGGATGGAGCCAGGCTCTTCTCAGTGGCAAGCAATGATAGGACAAGGGGAAATGGGTACAAACTGGAACACAAGAGGTTCCACTTAAACTTGAGAAGAAACTTCTTCTCAGTGAGGGTGACGGAACACTGGAACAGGCTGCCCAGGGAGGTTGTGGAGTCTCCTTCTCTGGAGACATTCAAAACCCGCCTGGACACGTTCCTGTGTAACGTGTTCCTGCTTTGGCGGGGGGATTGGACTAGATGATCTTTTGAGGTCCCTTCCAATCTCTAACATACTGTGATACTGTGATACTGTAATGTCTTCTATGATCAATTGACATATACTAGTCAACATATACACTGTTAGCATTTGATCTATGGTATTTCTGACAGTTTGATTCCTCCATTTGACCCATTATAGCTGATTCTCCTAAAATGAAAACTGTGTGAAAGTTCTCATTGTTTTGGCACAGTGTTGATCCTTCAAATTTGTCAAGATTTAGCGCAAAGCTTTAACACAAAGTGATGCAGACACATGCAGAGGCTATCTGGTTCCAATGACTGAGGTCTTGCAGGTTATAATTGGTTCATGTTTTGAGAACTACTGCTGTCATACAGTAAGATCCTCAGGCTGAACAGATCATGTAAGTAAAATCAGAGGTATAAAAATTTTGGATTATATCACCAAATAGTCTCAGCTGGCCCTGCATTCTTACATCTATTAAAAATGTTCTGAAAATTACAATGGTACAATTAAGATGTAAAATTAGTATTATTTCATATGCTTCAGAATGAGCAAGGGCAGTCAGTTTAGCTCCACAAGAGCTTAGTAGAGTTAGTTGGTTACTATTCACATTTACAAATCAATATGGTAACACTAGCCATATACAAAGCTGCTTCATGCAGATTTGGTTGATACAGGCAAGAAAGATAAGAATATTTATATCACCAGTATTTTGAAACTTCCCATTTGTCTTGGAAACCTCCGGTGTGTAGTTATCAAAGTTAGAAAAAAGATTTGATTACTTATTGCACATTTGTATTTGTGAAACAACTAAGGCTTTAACAGAAAAGGAGATGAATGCTTGCTTTAAATTCCCCTAAGCCATCCAGTACACCAAAGGCTTATCAGTGTGCACATGGAATTCACTGCTCAAGATTAAAGAGATTAGAGTTTGTCCTGTACAGCACCACTTTCTGCCTTCTTATCAAAGCAATTTAGGACAACAGCCCCAGATAACATTTACATATAAAAAAATGAATAAGAAATGGGAAGTGCTTCTTTCTTCACCAACTCATTAGATAAAAAAACAGAGAGAGGTAGGTGAGTGTAATCCATCTTTTATTTCTTGACAGCTTTCTGAGCTATGTTTGGGTGTAAGCAGTTTCTTCATCTGGGCAACCTTATTCACAGTTTAACAGCTGTGTTAAAGTACTGATTGAGAAAGCTGTAAGGAAACAATAAAAACCAAAACAAAACTAACCAGAACTCCTGAGGAAAGAAACTTCTAAGAGCTCAGGGGAATCTTTAATACAAATTTAGAAACAACCATGTCTTCTGAGAGATTTTATTATTTTTGGGAATGACATGTTCCACAGTCTTTTTGGTACTGCTGCTTTAAAAACTGGAATATTAACTTCTCTTTTCATTTTAAAAATAAGTGTTTTCTTATCAAGACTTTCAGCAACTACAATGGTAAGAAAATTATGCCAACAATGTATAGTCAAACATCAAAAACTGTACAATAATCTGTTCTGAAAGTACCTATGGATAATTTAACATGTTAGAAATTGTGGATCTTGCTGTGCACTAGCTTTTA